ACATTCTTATCCCATCTCTCTTTACCTTTGTCTCTTTCCACTGCCAGACGTTCGGCCGCTGTCATAAGGTTATCTTTCAACCCGTAGGCTATCTGTCTTGTTCGAGCAGCTAAGAGTTCCTCTCTGGACATCTCTTCTGCCCAGTCGACGGTTGTCCAACTGTCGACGTGAAACTCTATGGGAAGCGGGCAATGTCGCCCAAACCACAAAGTGTAGGGTGGGTATCCGGTACTAGCCCGGACCGTGACGTTGTCCGCCCATATTGCATATCGAAAATATCGCGGCCAATCACTGTCCTTACCCTTGCACCACTTGGACAGCGATGCTATCAGAGTCTGGTGTCCTCTCTCTACTGGGGAGTTCGTTTGTGGGTGATAGGCGGTGGCTATCGAAACTCTCGCCCCAGCTCTCTTGAACACTTCCTGAACTTCGTCAGCCAGGAATTCCGATCCTCTATCCATCACTATCTTGCCGATACAACCATACCTAGATAAGTACTCTAGGACGAAGTTCTTAACCTCCTTTGCAGCCTTACTTCTGATAGGTCTACCGTCCACGAACCCAGTGAAATCGTCTCGTATGTTCACGACGTAGTTCATATTGCCTACTTCTTTCGGCATTTTCACTAGATCGATGTGTACCTTCTCTCCTGGCCTGGTCGGATAGGATGGATGAAGTGGCTCTTTATACCTCACATGAGCCCTTTTCTGGCATTTTTCGCAGGTCATACAGTACCTCTCGACGTCCTTATACTGCCCTTCCCACCAGTACAGCCTGCGTACCTTTTCGTAGGTCCCTTTGATTCCCCTATGTCCTCCGACTACCCCGTCGTGAAGCTCCGCAACTATCATCTGTCTCTCCTCAGAATCACAGACCACTCGTAAGGGCATCCCYGATCCTACCGGTCTTCGGAAAAGGTGGCCCGCTCTAAGGCAGTACTTGGCGGCTTGCTTCCGAATATCTGAATCTTGACTCTCCTCTCCTGTCAAGTGTAGCCCGATCGCTCGGTACTTGCCCTCGTATAGGTTAACCAAAAATCTCTCGGCGCGGCTGGGTTCCGCCAACGTCAGGGCCCCAGCTACTATCGAGCGCTCAGCCTCTAGAGGGATCCGCGAAAGTCCATCTGCCACGGCATTTTTAGTGCCAGATATCCTTTCCACTGTGTAATCGTATAGACGAATCCGTATCAGTCATCGGGCGATGGTCGGGTCCGTCAGGCTAAAGTCCTTCTGGAGGACAGAGGCAACCGCGGTGGGGTCTACTCTCAAGATAAACCGTCGCCCATAGATATAGTGTCTGAATGTGTCTAGACACCGTAGAACAGCTAACACTTCTTTCTTGAATTGGCTGTAGTTACGCTCAGCCGTATTAAGTGTCATACTCTCAAATCTTAACGGTTTTTCCTTCCCTCCAGCGTCCTTCTGAGACACCAAACCACCCACTGAACATGGTCCAGCATCCGTGGATACTATGAAGGGTCTCTCGGTTTCGTCGTCAAAGAATGGAACACCCAACACGCGCCCTCCTTCCTTAAATTCGTCTTTAAGTTCTTGCATTGCGAGTTCCTGCGAAGCATCCCAGTGAAATTTTTCAGTCTTTCGAAGGAGTAACCTCAATGGCTCAGCCTTCTCCGCATATCCCTGTATGAATATTCGCCAGTATCCGACGACTCTCAGAAACTGCCGGACCTCGGTGGGGCTATGTAGCGGCGACGGCCAGTTCAGAAGTTTGTCTAGCTTTGCCGGGTCTGCTCGGCGCCCT